TGAGGGCATCCCTCCGGCTCTCCCCTCCGAGCCTCTCGGTTTGCCTTTAACCCTACCGACAATTTCCCGGCTTAAAAAAATTAAAAAAAAAAATTAAAAAAAATAAGATTTAAAAAAAAAAAAGGGCGTTCTTACCACCAACTAACACCCCGCAGGCAGCCGGGGTTTTGCTACCCGAGGTAAATTGTTGGGAGAGGAAAGGGTTACCATCCGCTCGGTTTATAAAAATCCTGCCTTGTCTGTATGAGGACTCCAGTCTTAAAAACACATATATATTGATAACAAATATTTTTTTTTTATCCAGTAAAAATAAGGTACCTTCTCCAAAGCACTCCAAACAGGAACCAAAACCTTCTGTTTTCCAGCAACTCTCCTACATTTCCTCCTCAGACTTGGGATTTCCGAGTCGCCCCCGTACCTGTTGGCAGGAGAAGGCAAGAGATGAGGGACGTGGGTGCCCACGGAGCCCCTCGCTCCCCCCATCTCACCCACCCCGGGGGGCAGGAGGCAGCCCTGTGCCCCACAGATGTGCTGCTGCTTCCCACCAGCGGAGACATTGCTGGAACATGGGCCAGGAAGGCACCACGTACCCCTCCAGCCTTGGCAGAGGCCTCCAGGGTCACCGCTGCTCCGGGCATGGGTGTCAGGAGGTGGTGGCTGAAGAAGAGGAGTGGGGCTGGCCACGGGAAGGACCCCCCATGGACAGTGGGGACCGGCTGCTCTGGGGGAAAGAGCTGGTGGGTGGCTCCTCAGCACTGTTCCTCAGAGGGAGGTGATGCCAATCACCTTCCTCTGGCCTCGCAAGCAGCCATGGCTGACCTTCATCACCCCATGGTCACCCCTCATCTCCCCATGGCCGCTTCCCATCTCCCCATGGCCACCCCTCATCTCCCCATGGCCACCCCTCAGCCTCTGTGGCTGCCCCTCATCTCCATCTGCATTGGCCTCTCGCACTACATGGCTGATGGCCCTCACCCCTCCCTCATCTCCTGCCATGGTGGCTCCTTACACCCCATGGCCATCACATTTCAACTCTCATGGCCACCCCTCATCTCCTGCCATGGTGGCTCCTTACACCCCATGGCCATCACATTTCAACCCCCATGGCCACCCCTCATCTCCATCCAAGGTGGCCTTTTCCACCGCATGGCTGCTGCCCTTCACCCCTCATGGCCACCCCTCATCTTCTGCCATGGCAGCCCCTTACACCCCATGGCCATCACACCTCAACCCTCATGGCCACCCCTCATCTTTCCATGGCCACCCTTCGTCTCTCCCCATGGCAGCTACCCCTTATGGCCACCCCTCGTCTCGCCCCCAGGGGCCAGTTATGGCCATTGTGCCTCACCCCTTATGGCTGCCATTCATTTCCCCTCATGATCTCCACTCACGATCTCCACTCATGGCCGTACCTCACATCCATGGCCAACCCTCATCATCTTCCTTCATGGTCACCCCTCACATCCATGGCCAACCCTCGTCATCTCCTCTCATGGTCACCCCTCACATCCATGGCTGCCCCTCGTGACTGCCCCTTCGTAATGTCCCCTCACGACCGCCTCTCACTCCCCACAGGACACCCCTCATCCTCCCTTCATGATGTCCCCCCACGGCTGCTCCCCACATCCCACGGGCCCCCCATTTCTCCCCCATGGCTGCCCCTCCCTCTCCCT